TATTTCACTGTTTTCAATAGAAAACAGCCACCAACAATGGAAAAGCTGAGAGAAAAGGGAGAAAACTTTGGAAAAAAACAATAACAAACAATTGTATTCCCCTAGTAGACGATCAAAACCAAAGCAAGATACAATGTTCTTCAATTCGAGAGGAAGAACAACTCTCCAACAATCTCCGGCAACGCCAAGAGCCCAAGCAAGAAAACCTAGAACACAAAACTCTTTTCAAAATCAAGATGCAACCCTAATCCCCTCATAACTCCCTATTAATACAATCTAATTCAAATTAAAAGCAAAAGGACTTCTCTACCCTTCCTTCTCCCTCCAAAAACACTTAAACCATGTTTGAATTGCAAGTGGACCCCACCCCAAGCCCCTTTCTCCCTTCCGCCTCTTCTCTGTGCCGCCTCCGCCTGAAGAAAACCCGGACCGGCAGGGCCGGTCCAGGTTGGGCCGGTCCAGGCTGGACCGGCATAACAGTATGCTATATTGATACGCTAATTCATGACCATCCTAATGAAGACCATATAAATGCAGTACTCTAGATTCTGTGACACTTATATTCCTCTACATGCAAGGGAATTATGTTCAGGAAACATTATCATCTAAGCATTTATAGATATATAGATGCTGATTGTGTAGGAAAAATGTCTCACCAAAGATCTACGTTAGGGTATTTCTCCATTGTTGGAAGTGATCATGTTACATAAAGAAGTAAAAAATAGAAGGTGGTGGTGTTATGTAGTACAAAGGCCGAATTTAGAGGCATAATTAAAAGACTGTGTAACCTACTATGGTTAAAAAGTTGGTGAAAGAAATCAGTTAACCATCCGAATCTGAAATGAACTTCTTTTGTGAGAAAAAGGCAGCCATTGGCATTGTATGCAATCTAATTCAACACGATCGAACAAAATATCTTGAAGTGGATCGGCATTTCATCAAGGAAAAACTTGAAAGACAAAACCATTCAATATCCATTTGTAAAATTGGACAACCAATTAGCTTATATTTTAAAATTGATTGATAATGACTTAATTATGTCCTTAGCCGTCTTGGTATTGAGTTGAGGAAGCTGAAGATTCAGGAAAAATGAGCTGATCCGGTGGAGATTTGAAGTCCTAAGCAATGATTTATCTTTGTTTGAAAAGTTTGGATTGTCTGGAGATTGGACATTTCTCAGCTTCTTCTCATGTTGAATATAGCATTTACTGGATGTGATATTGCTACCATTTTTTGGTTTCTTCAAGTTTCATAGCATATGTTAGGAGTTCAATCCTTGCTCAAGTATCGGGCATATGGTGTCGTTCAAGGTGTCATACCTTTGCAAGATTCATATGGTCTACTTTTGTGATCTCTTGTCCATGTTTCTCAGTTGTTCTTGCTTTTGTGTGGCAAGAATTAAACCTGTTTTTTTATTAAAATTTTGATGGAAAATTGTCTTGTTTTTCAGGCAGGAATATAAGCAATTGGACATGTTGCGCGGTGTTCTTCTAAAAGTGCCTTTCATGGGTTTAACTGCTACAGCCACTGAGAAGTACGATATGTATTTTTAAATTTTTATAATTTATAATATAGATAGGGTATGTAGGTACTGTGAACGAGTTCCTAGCAATTAAACTAAGATGATGATCTGTCTGCTTTTGTGGTTAATATTATTGGGATTTTCTTTAATGCAAGTACACTACATGTTTTGGAGCACCGTTTTGCTGTAGGTTTTTGTCTGTGAATGTGTGCTTTGGTTGTTTACTCTATAGTTCTCGTGTAGTTTTGTATGTTATTAAAACTATTATTTCTGTTCCATTAACTTCATTTAGAGGTTTTCTTTAATGCAAGTACACTAAATTTCTTCCAGCACATTTTTGCTTTATTTTTTTTTCTGTGAATGTTTGCTTTGGTTTACTCTGTAGTGCTTGTCTAGTTTGGTAGAATATTCAAACTATTATTTCTGTTGCATTAACTTCATTTACAGATGTTTCTTTTGTCATATTTGTTGCAAATCCCTTATGTTGTTAGCATACTTAGATATTTAGGTTGATACGCAAGTGCATATGTTGAACAAATAGTATACAATAGAGTACCTTTCTCATCAGAATTAAGATCTAATTCTAAAAAAATAAGTACTGATTTATATTATTGTTAATTTTATTCAATGATTTGATATAAAATTTTTAATATCTACTTCTTTAATCTAAATTGGATTTAAATGGAGAGAAAATATGAATGTATGATTTCATCAAAGCATATACTTTTTTGTTGTAGAAATTAATAGAATTAAGGTATAATTATAGCTTTAAAGATTGCTGATAATATTAAGATTATTAATATTATAAGTATTTATGCTCATTAAGTAGGTTTGGATATACTTTAAAATTAAAATTTTGGAATGACTTAAAAAAATTAAGACAAATAATACTTTTTGAAGAAAGTGTTTTTATTTGAGGATATTCAAATTGTCATGTTGGTAGAGTGGTAGAAGATTTTAAAAGCATTCATAGTGGCTATGAGTTTGAAGCGACTAATGAATGTGATATGATCATATTAGATTTTGCTCTAGCTTATGATTTTTGCTAATATCTTATTTAAATAAAGAGAGGAGCCTATCAGTGCTTATGAGAATTGATATAATAAAACTCACTTATGAGAATGGATATAGTAAAACTCAAATTGATTATTTTCCTATAAGAAAAATAGATTGTTTATATTATAAAAATAATTTTATGAAAGTTTATATACAAAACATCACTTATTAGTTTTGAACTTCAGGATTAAGAGGCAGAATATGAAAAATGAAGTAAAATATTGCCTAGGATTAGATGTGGGCATTTAACAAATGCAAATAAAAATATTTTTCAGATTAAGATTTAAGTTCTTAAGATTTTGGTTTTGGATGAGGGATTAATGTTATATGGGTGACACTTAGTTGGGCATACTTGAAGTTCAGCCCACGTCTTATATGAGCCCACCTAGACATAAGCAGGCTTCAGTTATGAGAAACCTCTAACCGTGTGTGATAAAGTAGCCCCATCTTTTTAATTTAGGCTTCAGTTGGGTCCTGGTTGACTCATGTTGGGCTACTTGCCTGAGTAATAGTGTAACTTGAAATTCTTTTTATTTTTGAATAACTAACAGTAATATACTAATATACGAGGGAGTGAAGTGGGCAAAAACAGCGAGTAGATGGTTTTGTCATCTTCTGGGTTTGAAGCTGAGCATAAATTTCAAGAATTACATGCCAACACTTGGCTTATCATGCACTAAAACGTTTAGATTGGTTCAACTGCTTTGGATCTCTTTCCACGGTTTGAATATAATGACTTTTATACTTGCTGCATTTATGTTTTATTAGTCCCTACATTATCCGTACAAGATAATTATGTCAAAAAATCTTATTATTTGTCCTTTTAATAGGGTGCGGAATGACATTGTTCAGTCCTTGAAAATGACCGATCCTTTTATCTCTATTGGATCATTTGATCGCAAGAACCTCTTCTATGGTGTTAAGCCTTATCATCGTTCTCAGTTATTTATGGATGAACTTGTAAAAGAAGTTTCAAAATATAACGTTAGTGGTGGTTCAGTTATCATTTACTGTACAACAGTGAAGGACACCGAACAGGTTCAGTTTCTGTTTCGATTTTCCAAGTCGTTTTGATGCTTTTATTGGCTGCAAATGTTGTATGAATCTTGTGTTGATGCTTCATGTCAATATCTTTCATCATTATCGTGTTTGATTTAGAGCTGTATGAAAAGGTTGCCTTTATTCCTATAGCAGTTCATTGTAGGCACAGTTGTTTTTGTATAATATCTTCTTGAGCAGACTTTATACTATTGTTCATAATGTGAAGGGAGATGGAAGATCCTACTAGAAATAAGAAATGTAATTAGTAAATTAGTCAGAAGCACATTACTTGTTGTTGAAATTTGATAAAAATAATGGATCTTTTGAAGAACAAAGAGTAATGATTGATTATAACTGAATTGAAACAAAGCACTGGCAATTTACTGCGGCAGAATAGAATTCTCATAATTTTGGATACTCTAACATTAAAGACCTTAAAAATGAAAACTTTCTCAAGCATCATTAAAACCTTAAAATGATAATCTACTATGCCATTCTTAAATGCCATTTAAGTCTTTTGCTCAAGCATCTGCATTAAAGTATGGCTCATGGATTCAACATCCTTAAAAAAAAAAAATGGCAGAATGCCAGACAGAACTCCTTAACCTACTTAATCTAGTACGAGGATATCAAGTCTGACAGGCTAACACAAAGCAAGAGCTGACACATTGTTGAAACTAAGAGAGGTTGTTTCGGTAAAATCATCCCGAATATGATCATGCCCATGTTGTGCATGCACATTGCCTCCGCCCCCACGTCTTCAATCAACGGCTGCCTCAGTTGCGTAAAAAGATATGAGGAAACAAATATGAGATTTATGCAATCAAAACTTTCAATTTTGATGTCCCTGTCTCCCCCAATTCAATTGTACAAGCAATATCTGCAATACTCCACAATACCCTTTAACAGTATTGTAGAATGTCGCACACAAACATAACATTTTTCAATTTTTGAATAAAACATCTAATAGCATTTTTTTAATTACATAAATGGAAGCATCTAATAGAGATTCAATTACATCAAGATAAATACTTCAGAGTACAAAGCCACTAAAGAAATCCAAAATAATATATTATTGAACTGTCTACATATCTTAAATGTAGACTCATAAACAGAGATAAACATTAATATATAAAATTAATAATTTGAATATTATTCTGCAACGACCTTTTGCTTCCCTTTTCCTGTAACAATAGTTAGTATGAAATAACTTGTGAGCTATTAGGCTCAATAGGTTATGCAAATTTAAATGGCAGTTAAATTGCATGATAAAAAGCCACCACATTGAAATCATAAGTTAAACAAACTTAAGAAATATTATATAATGACATTTGACATTAACTTTTACTTCCACTGAAGTCTATACTGAATATCAATTTTAGTCTTTAAAGATTTGACTACACTTTCATAAAGATATTCAATGGAGCCCAGGTAAACCTGACATTATCGCCATTAAATTACATAGAGATTCTTTTTGCCTCTTGTAATTTCTTTCCTTCAATGTTAACTTTTAGATAGAAATAAATATAAGATTCTCAACGAAGGTTACAGATCCAAATTTGATTTTGCAATAATTTTCTTTGTTACCTTTTAATCATATGAATTGCCCCAACATCATTTGAGATAACAAACTACTTCCTTTTGTTTACCATCTTCCTTCACCAAAAAGAAACTTTGAGTTGACTGCATATCCCTGTTTATCTAGTTAATTGAATTATTTATTACTGTCATTGGTTTTATCCTGAATCTTTGTGATCGGCATAAGAATCCTTCTTTTTGATTCATTTATGTTAAGACGAGGATAAAATCCTGCTCAGTTCCTATTAAATAGCCTTAGAATGTTTCAGCTATGATCTTCACCTTTTACTAGCTAATCTAATGTTAATTCTGCCCGCCTGCCATACTAAGTTATTTTTTTCTTAGCTTGCTTTTGCATATTGAAGATTTCTAGATGTTGGCATTGAATTTTTGAACAAATGAGATTTCAGAATTTTTGTTGCATTACGTAGTTTTTGTAATATTTAGTTTCTGGTTTACAAAAATATTTTATTGTGTTTTAATGCCATGATCCATCATTATTGTTTCCTTGGTTTTAGTTTATCAAGAAAGAATTATTGAAATCTATAAGTTTATGGGTAAAGACATCAACATGTATCTTGCATAAGAATCCATCTTTGGTTTGGTTTCTTTTTTATTTGAAATGCTGTAGCATTAATGATCCCCGTCCGTAAGCCTTTTTCTTCCCTTGAACCGTGATGCTATTATTGTCTGGTTGTTTATTTCAGATTTGCCAATTACTATGTGGTTCTGGAATAACTGCCGGGATGTACCATGGTCAAATGGGCAGTAAAGCTCGTGAGAAGTCACACAGGTGCCCTGCGCTCATGTCTTTTATATTTTAATGCATTTTTTTAAGACATTTAAATGAAAGATTAGCCATTTAAACCTTTTCCTTAATTAATTCTATGTTCAGTTCTTTATTTGCCATATTTGAATCAATCTGAAAGTTAAACTGAAAAGTTGCAGTGCTGCATGGCTTATTTATGCTTGTTGATTTCAGGTCCTTTATTAGGGATGAGGTTAACGTCATGGTAGCTACTATTGCATTTGGCATGGGTATCGATAAACCGAATATCAGGTGTGTTATACACTATGGCTGCCCTAAAAGTTTGGAGTCATATTACCAAGAGAGTGGAAGGTGTGGTAGGGATGGCTTAGCTTCAGTTTGTTGGCTATATTATTCAAGAAGCGATTTTGCAAAAGCGGATTTTTATGTTGCAGATGTACGATCGGTATGTGGTTACTTCATTTAGTGAATGAAACTTACAAGTAAATATATATTTAGCTATTATGCAAGCAACTTTAGTGCTAACAAAGCAGAAACAACCTCTTTGCATGAACAAATATAACAGTGAGTATTATGTAGCATGTCCTTGTGAAGTTTTGCTTCATTTATGTAGGAAAAACAACGGAAAGCTATCATGGAGTCCCTGATGGCAGCAGAAAAATACTGCCTGCTAGTTTCATGCCGCAGGCGGTTTTTGTTACAGTATTTTGGTGAGAAGAGGGAGAGTGATTGTGGTGAGTTATTTTCAGCTTTTTTTGCATTTCATGCATTTGCCTGTTCTATATGTTAGATGCAACTTATATTAAAATGCGTCTGTCTCAGATTTTCTTGATATAAATCACATATTGCCCGTTTTTGTGATCATTTTATCATCATGGTCATGTCAAAGTGAATTCTTCCCCATCATTTTCTAGGAAATGTATTATATATTTTTATGTTCTTAACAACCAATTTGTGATTGGGCCGTTCAGTTAACATTTGAGCTGCAGGTAACTGTGATAATTGCACTAGGGATAAAAGGGAAAGAGATCTATCAAAGGAATCCTTTTTATTGCTATTCTGCATAAAATCTTGTGGCGGTCGGTGGGGCCTCAATATGCCAATTGATGTTCTTCGTGGATCTCGGGTATCTCTTTTCTCTTAATTTAAGGGAGAAAACACCTTCATTCTTTATATTTTTTCTAGATTTAATGTATTAGCTTTGGTTCTTGCAGCAAATTTTCAATTCATGAAATTTTAGTAATACAGTAGTTTCCTGTTTTGCTATTAATTTTTGTTAAACTTCAACAAAATTTTAAAAATATTTAATATGACATAATAATGAAGTTGTTTGGGGCGACAGTGGGTGTTGTAAATATATTCTTTTTTGAAAAGATTGAATAACAGTTTTCTAACAGCTGCCGCATATTAGTAGATTTGGTTATGAAAGACAGCTTGCAACAATAGAAGTTTCTGGAAAGAAACAATAAAATAGAAGCCAAGCAAAATTGTGGTTGCATTCTGAAAAGCAAAGCAGTGAGAAAGCTATTGCAAACAAATCCTTAATGAGTACCCTATTTATATTATGCCTCTAAGAATGAAATGGTAGTTCAAACACATACTTATTAACTAGTAGCTTATTCATATTATTCCTCTATTAACTATTAAAATTACGATTTACTTCTTACGTGTGTATACATATTCATGAAGTCTTGCATGCACATTTAGATCGAAATGATAGAAAAAATAAGTTTTATAGGATTTAAGTGAAAATAAAATAATTTGAAGTTTTTCCTTTGAGCCAATATCCTGTTCAATGTAAATTTTGAAGGATTTGTTTGCTTATAATGTTTGTTATATTTGTATTTTTATAAGCTACCAAGATTGACAGATAAATAAGTTTGAATATATTGTTAAAGCTTTGTTTTGGATCTTATGGGTTAATGCTAGATTCAACTAGAGAAAAGCTGAAAGGAAACATATAAAGTAGTCAAGAAAGATGGAGAAAGAAGATCTCAGAGTTTGATCAAGGTAGGTGTGTTATAACTTATGAGTGCATGTGATATAATGCAAGTTAGAAGTGAAATATTCAAGAAATTATGAAATTGCTATTTAGAAAAATATTATGAGTTTTAAGAAATAAATTTATTTATAATGGCAAAATAGATGTTATGAATAGAGGAATTTTTTTGCCTGCTAGGAATGAACATTTAATAAGCATTCCACGCGAGAGTTCATAAATAATAGAAGCAAATTGAAAAAACATATAAACATATTGACAATTATATGAATAAACGGTTTTTCATCGTTTTTGATCTTTTGAGTTGAACACGAGGATGCATTATGATTATGCTTGCATATTTCTTTTGAGAGGATCAAATTCAATGTAGTTCATATTTGCATAAATTATATTGTGTCATGTGGCCTATCTGTTGGCATTAGCAGGAGGGGTGTTATGATACTCGTTGAAAGTTGGGACTAACAACAGAAAATTAGTTCATTCCGCCATCGTAGTAGTTTTCTTATGCTTGGTAACTTGGATCCTGATTTGATACACAAAATTAAAAATAATTTGTTTGACTAAATAAAATTTTACCTTTTGAGCCATGTGACATTAGATGAGCATGAGTTGACTTGAGACAAAGATGAGCCATTTCGATAAAGATGAACGTAACTTAATAAATTTGAAGGAAATTGAGTGAATCCAAGTAGATCATGGATTAGCAGATCTGAAATATGCTGGAGTGCTTCTAAATCATACAAGAGTAGATTCGTGGCTCTGAAGAGTAGCCCATTGGCTTGGAAAAGTAGTCCTGAAACTTGGAATTGTAGATCTGTGACTAGGAAGAGTGGATTTGTGCCTTGGAAGAGTACTTCTTTGGCTCGAAAAGTGGATGTGGGGTATGTAAAAGTAGATATGTGACTAGGGAGAGTGGATCCATATCATGGAAGAGTAGTTTTTGGGCTTAGAAGAGTGGATCTATGGACTAGGAAGATAGTGAATATGTATTTTGGAGAATTAGTCCTTTGGCTTAAAAGAATGGATCCATGCTTTGGAAGTGTAGTCATTTGGCTCATAAGAGTAGATCTAATACAAGGAAGAGTATATATGTGACTAAGAGGAGCAATGCTTTAAAAACCGGACCAGCCGGTTCGACCGGTTCAACCGTGAACCGGTCATAAGACCGGTCCGGTTCAGTCTTAAAACCGCTTCTGCATTGAACCGGACTGAACCGGTCAGAACCGCCGGTTCAACCGGCAAACCGGCCTGGTTATGTTTGAACCGGCCGGTTCAAATCATACAAATTTTAAATATTTTTTTAAATAAATAAATTAATATATATTTAAAACATTTGATTGAAGTTATAATATATTTTTTATTATAAACAATTTTGCCCTCAAACCATCATGAAACATCTTCACATGACACCTTCATGTGAGCTCTTTATGCGAGGAAAGTAAAAGGCTATATAAACAATAACAAGAAAGGGTTTCTAAGGGATGTGGGACTAAAGAAAAGAGTTGAAGAGT